TTTTTTTTTTTTTAGTAGGGACGGGGGTCTCACTCTTGCTCAGGTTGGTCTCAAACTCCTGAGCTCAAACGATCCTCCCGCTTCAGCCTCCCAGACTGTGAGAATTACAGGCGTGAGCCACTGCGCACGGCCTAGGCTCATGTTTCTTAAACTGAGATACTCACAGCCTCCCACGGGTACCGGAAGACACAGCAGGCGCCTTCCCAGAGCGTGAATGTTACCTGACCTTATTCATATCAGTTAAACAAACGTGGGCCTATTATGGAGGAAATTGTAAAACGTACATGAAATTTTAAGCCAAATCAAGAGAATTTCAAGGAAAAGTGTATGCATTCGCTCTTCCCCCCAGCCCAACTATTACGAGTCCTGGGGGCAGGTAGACATTTGAGAAATCCTGCTAGGCCAGAGTTCACCCACCTGTGGCTGCATATGACTTCTTGACTGCTAACTGTGTTATGACCTGGATGTGATTAGCAGTAAAAGCCCCCAGAAAAGGACTGATAGCAACCAGCCTAAGATGAGCTGAGCTGTCTAGTAAGGTAGTGAGCACCGTGTTGTTTGTGACTTTTCAAACAGGCCTTGGAAAACCACAGGTTAGTTATGTAGAGGGATTATCAACATCAGATGGAGTGTGGACTTAAATCAGTAAGGACTCTTCCAGGCTTGACAATCTTTGAGTTTTAGAAAAAGACGAGAGAAAGATAAGAAAACTTTGGGGTTAAGAAGAGGGAATGAACTGGGGTGCAGCAGTGGGGAGAGGCCAGTGGAAGGGGCAGAAGGAATCTAGGCTGGAGATCATAGCCCTGGAAGCTGGTACCTGGTCTAGGCTGAGATCAGGTTGGGAGGTAAAAGGAGCCACAAGGCCTTGGGCTAGAATCCAAGAGAGCATGGACAGGCAGAACCTATATCCTGGACTGAATCTGGGCCCACCAGGAAGTACCTGACATCCTTTAAGACTGGGGCCAAAAATTAGAAAACATCAGGCTGCGTTCAATTAAGCCTAGAGGAACTCTGTGACTCTGCTGGGTATCTGGTGCCTACTGTTTCCTCTATGGCCCTCCAGCTGCAGGTAGCAAATCTTGCGCTCCGTAAGTGTGTGAGCTCTGGAGTGTAGCACCTGGCAGCAATCCTAAGTTCCCAGGATCTGGCAATGCCAGAAATTATTTTGGTCAGTGGCTCCCAGCGTAGAGTTTACATGATTCCACAAGGCCCCAGGATAGTGTTAGAGGCCTTCAAGTTATTTTGATATTTCAAAAATCTGAAAGGAAATTATACTATGATTTATTTCTTAGTTTGACAGACTGTATTACTGTTTCTTCAATGCATACCTAGTTAACTCTGATTAAAATTTGAACTTAAAAGCAAAATTAGCATCTAAATGAAGGAATTTAGAAGATAAAAACTTCAAAATCATGAGCTCTAAGAGGGGAGGAGGGAGTGTAGGACAGGGAATGGCAAAAGAGTCCTTGAGAGGGAAAAGTTTAGGAAGCACTAATGTCATTCACCAGCCTCACTTTATAGATGGAGAAACTGGAGGATCACAGAGGTTAAGTGATTTTCCCAGGAACACACTGAGGATTCTTGGCAGAGGCAAAACTCAAATCAGGCCCCTACTTCCTTTATCAAGGTTTTCTTCTCCACTCTTTAACCCCTGGGAAGTCTAAGGGGGTCGGGGGTAGAGGGGTGGACCCTGAGAGGTCAAGGAGAAAGTGAGACCTGGAGGAAGGTTTGACAGGGTGGAGTCCACTCCCCATCAAAAATGTGATCGTTGTGCTATTAACAAAGGCTTTTCTTTCCAAGACAATTCTCCCTCCACCTGGAATGCATGTTTTTGCATGAATATTTACCTGACTGGTGAATGTAGTTCTGTGCATATGGAGGCATATTAGGGAGTACAGTGCTTTAGTGTGCATATCTGTGGCTTTGCATGAGTCCGTGTGTGCAGAGGGACGTAGAACAGAATTCCCATGTGTGTATAGCTGTGCCTGTCCCTGTGTAATTGTGAGGTCTTAAACGCATACATCTGTTAATACAAAATGTGGGTCCCATCCTTCTGGTCTTAGTTTGACAAAGATTGCTGGGCAGCTGAAATTAATCTAACCAGGTTAATAAATGAGGTCAGTAAAAAGAAAATCAAAATTAAAGCTTAATATAAATTCCTCATTGTCTGAAAGAAAGAAGAAGAGGGAAAAAAAACCAAAACCAGATCCAAGGAATCCCCAGGGCTCCCAGAAGCAGCAATGAGGGCAGATTCCGGGGTGAATGAAGCAGGACATTTTCTTCTCCCAACTCAGGAATCCAAGGTCAATAGTGAGAATTTTGCAGAGTTTAGGCCACCTCTGACTAGGGCCTGTGATGCTCTCCATCAAACTCA